ATGGTGGCACATGCCTGTAGTCCCAGCTACTTGGGAGGCTGAGGCAGGAGGATCGCTTGAGCCCAGGAGTTTGAGGTTGCTATGAGCTAGGATGATGCCAAGGCACTCTAGCCTGGGCAAAAGAGTGAGACTCTGTCTCAAAAAAAAAAATGGCATGCTTAGAACTTGCTTAAAATATGAATAGGGGAAGTGAACAGAGCAAAAGTGACCATGGGTTGATGGTGACTGGGAGGCAAGTGATGAGTTCAGACATTCCTCTGTCTACATTTTTGTATGTTTAAAATCCATAATAAAACATATTTTTTAAATGTCAGATAAGGTAATTCCGTATTAAAATGAATAGCTATTAAGAGAATAATATACTCAAGACATTCCCAATCAGGCATTCTGTCCCTAAAGTAGTCATAGAGACAATATTTAAAATACAGTTATTATAATTCCAACAGGAAGCATTAAAGGCATTTTGAAAAATGTTGTTAATATTGTATCCTTACGGTTGTTATTGTCTATTTGCACCATCTGCTGCTATAATAAAATATACCAGAGTGCCTGGCCTCTTTGTCTATCTTTGAATGTGAACATTCTACTGCATGAGACAATATCTGTCAGAATAAAAGCGTTCAGGGTCAATGTATGTTAGAGAGAGATACTGTCAAAAAGCCTTCTGCATCACAGTATGTGAAACTGATTTCCAGGGTATTTTAAAAAGCTTATAAATTTTAAGTTTGAAAGTAGATTTTTTAAAAACTCTATGCATACCAAGATATCTCTGTATTTTAGAAAATGACAGAGGGAAAAACTAAGTTGGTTAAAATAGTTAATCACAGGGGAGTTTTTTTATTTTTAAAAATGCTTGAGGACATCTGAGAAGATGGAAAGATAACTCATTTTAGTACCAATAAATCCTTAGCATGAGATTTTCCTCTAATTTGCTAGAAATAGATAGGAAAAATGTGTGAGAAAGCAAAAAAGGAGTCCCTAGGACTCTAGGTAAAGTATGATGGGCCAGAATCTCCCAAATGGCCCCTTAGATACAAGAAGAATCAAAGAGAAAACCACCTATTGCCACCAAATCATACTTTTCAACAGGCCACTGCTGGGCCAATACAAAAACACCCAGAAGCCTCTTTTTCACTTATCTAAACACAAGTCCTCTTATCCTAACCTTTTTTTAAATATACCTCATTTTTAGAGCAGTTTTAGGTTCACTGTAAAATCAAGTGGAAAGTACAGAGTCCCCATATACACCCCCACCTTGTCCCCACACATTCATAGTCTCCCTTGTTATCAACAACCCACACCAGAGTGGTCCATTTTTTTCAATTGATAAACCTATGTTGACATATCATTATCACCCGAAGTCCATCGCTTACATTAGGGTTCATTCACACTTGGTGTTGTACATTTTATGGGTTTGGACAAATGTATAACACATATTATAGTATCACCATTATAGTATCATTATAGTATCACACTGAATAGTATCACTATCCTAAAAATCCTCTGTGTTCTGCCTATTCATTCCTCCCTCCCCCAAACTCCTGGCAAACACTTCCTAACACTTTTTGAACATGATCAAAACAGATTGGAATGGGCATTTCTAGTCCTCAAGGGAAAAAAATCCCTATAAAGACTACAGTAATAATACTGACCCCTTAGAGGTTATATAAACAACTTTTTTCCCTTTATGACGTGCAAATTCAAATTGTTTTTTCTAACAATTTATCAATACACGTTTCCTAAGTTATTTTCTGGATTTTTTATTTTGGCAATGAAGTAACAACTCATTTCTGACAATAATATCCATTTGTCCTCTGCTTGGACTGACATCAACACTTTAAAAAGTCTAAGTCTAACAAGCTTTTAAAACAACCCAATTTGTTTTGTGTAGTTGTCAAAGAGCAAATCTGGACCTTGGACAGTGGCTGTTATTTTCCATCTGTACATTTTAACATTATAGCTTATGAACCTCTAAAGAAAACATTTGTCAATTTCTGACCCACATTGCTATTTTTAAATAATAGGTTAAAGACTTCTCTACAATTATTTAGAAAATGGGTTCTTCTGAATCATTTAGAAGTTCATAGAAAAAATGAACCATCTTATTGAGAGTCTCTGGAGCTTCGTGGGAGTCCCAGCCACTTACAACAACAGAAAGAAATTAGTTCACTGTAATTGTCCCAATTAAGAGATAGAAAATAAAGATAAAACTTGAGTTGTGTTCTATTTTCAGAAACCCAAAGGAGAACATAAGCTTTTCCTTAAGAAAATAAATTTTTTTTAAATTAAAAAAGGAAAATATTTCAGGGCTTAATATCTTATGGTATTCTGTCAATTTCCTTGGACCATTCAGTTTTGACTGAAACATCATTCCCAAGTAAGTGTGCTGCAATCTTCCACCAATCCCACCACTTTTTAAATGGCAGGCTTTTCTTTTCTGACCCAAGAGAACAGTATAATACAAGATGAGCAATTACCTTTGATTTTTCTTCATTTTCTCTATAAAATTCTGCCATCTGTTCCTCCTGCTCTTCAATAACATCCTTGAGTGTGTCTACTTGATAGATCAAATTGTTCTTCTCATTGTCTAACTGTGCATTAGAAACCATGGCTTTCTTGTATTTTTCTTCCACTTCAGACAAAGACTCCTAAAAAAGAGTTAAAGTCATAAGCCTGATATCTAAAATATGTTCCCGCACATATGAAATATAACAGGAAATTATAGCACTGGCACAAACATATAAAGATGCATTTTTGCAAAATACAAGCAGTTTGGGGAACCTTGTTTAGTGACATGCACATAAAACAGGAAGATGATAATAAGCCAATAATGCCTAAGAACAATATGTATTCTCTGCCCCCCAAGAAAACAAAAATCAAGCAGCAAGGTAGCCTCTGAAAAGATGAAGAGGAGTGCAGACAATATATATTGGTAAGAGTCATAAAATGAAGACTCATCAATATTTTCAGAAATATTACTCCTGTAGTTTTTAACAACAAACTGGTGTTCAGAATGCAGTGATACAACAGAATGGAGCCTCTTTACAAAAGTAAACTTCATACTCATTTGAATTTTGCCACTTCTTAGATATTTGTTTTCAGTACTTTCTGTCCTGCATAATAATGCCAATGTAAATGGGTAAATTTTTTTCTAGCAATTATCCAAATTTTAATCATTTTTAAATAAGCCAAACAAAAATGAATGCTAAAAAAAGAGCTACCACAAAAAGCCTAAAATCTTATATTCCTCAAAAATTTTCTGCCTAAAATAGCTTACAAGTGTGTTTTTTTAAAAATAAGTATATCTAATTTGGTAATTTCTACTGCCTAGAAACCTTTTTTAAAGCTAAAAAGAAAAACGTTTCACAAAGAAAATGTAATCACTTCTGGAAATAAATTCAAAATACTAGCACAAATGTTTATCAAACCAAGATCAATGAAACAGAACTAAGAGTCAAGAACCCTTAAATTTATGATCAGTTAATTTTGATAAAGGTGTCCACATAACTCAATGGAAAAGAATAAATGGTGTTGGGACAACTAGATAACCCCCACACAAAAGAACATAGTTGGACTCCTACCTCACCATATACAAAAATTAACTCAAAATGGACCACAGATCTAAATGTAAGACCTAAAACTATAAAACTGTTAGAAGAATATATAGGACTAAATCTTCATGAACTTGGCATAGGCAATGGTTTCTTAGATACAATACCAAAAGAACTATTGAGCAAAAAAAAAAAAAAAAAACCAGATCTAAATGTAAGACCTAAAACTATAAAACTG